TATAAAAAATATTTTTTGTCCGATTCATCGATTAATCGAAAAAATAATCTGCCGATTCATCGATTTTTAAAATAATCGTTAGTTGCAGCCCTAGTCTCAAATGCGCGACAACTCACTGGAAAACGGATGACTCTCCAATCCCGGAGTAACCATTGCTGCGAATATGCGATCAAAGTTATGTAAGATTTGCACGAGTCCTGCCGAAACGAGGACAACCTCCCACTGAGATTCATCCTGTCCAATGACATTAGCATTGCCAATGGACTTCCTAGTGGGTTTTTTACGGCGTAGTATACGGGCCAGGCTAGAGATTTTTCTATTTCGAAAATAAAGTCGTAACGTGACCAGTATGGAGAGATATTTGTGCCATCGGTTTGAGCGCACAGTGAGACAACACGCGCGCGCGCAAAAACCGGTCTGACGCGCGCCCAACTCTGAAAAACCCTCTAAACACACTGTTCTCGCGCTCAGTTTCATCTCTGCGCGTGCTTGAATCCGTCTCTGCTCGCGCTCGACCTGCTCTCTCCGCGCTCAACACCAGCTCTGCGCTCGGCTGTTTCTCCGCTCGCTCTACTCTCTGCGCTCGCAACTTCAGCAATGTATGTAAATGAACAATACCATCAGCCAATCACGCTCAGCTTCTTTTCATCCAATGAAAGCATTCGTTCCTTCTTCTTTTCTATCATGGCGGATCGCAAGCAACTTTAAGCTGCATACCGCCACCTACTGTTCATGAGTGTGTAGCAACATTGTTTTACATCTGTTAAATTCTATTTTTTTATTTTGTATTCTGAAGATAACTAAATAATGCTTTCCTTAATCTATAAATATCCTTTATTTCCTTTATTTCCCAATAATCCTCTAAGACTCCATTCTTGGCCTGTCCTTTCAACTACTCTTCTAATTTTATCCCTTTCAGGTTCATATGTTTTACAGTTCATCAATATGTAAGCATTCGTTCCAAATACTACATCCGGTTAAATGAAGAAAAAAAATAAAAATAAAAACACAATAAGGAAAATCAAACAACTCTTACAGTTATTTGGTCAACGCTCCTAACCATTTGATGGACAGAAGATAGCACTATAAAATATCTTGAATTATCTCAAATAAACTTCAGTAAAACCGTTATTATATCATTGCCTCGTCCATCTCTTTTACCTGCTATTGACATGGATTTAAATTTGCTGTTTTAAAAGAAAAGTAAGGAGGATATTTCAGGTTCAAGTATGGTTCAACAATATATAGATAATGTTTTGGATCATATTGGCCTTACTCTTAGCTTTTGTGG